ACATGAAATTAAGCATATTGAGCCCGGAGTAAATGAGAATATATAAAAAGGGACTCTTTGGTACTTTTTCGTCCTTCGATTGGTACTTTTTGAGTTTTCTATAAAATTTAACCTAGAAACATGAAATTAAATTTATAGAACCCAGAGTAAATGAGAACCTATAAAAGGGGACTTTTCGATACTTTTTCGTTTTCCAAAAGGTACTTTTTGAAATTTCTATAATATTGAACCTAAAAATATGAAATTAAGCACGTAGAGCTCGGAGTAAGTGATAACATATAAAAGATTACTTTTTGGTACTTTTTCGCTCTTCAAAAGGTACTTTTTGATATTGCAGATATATATACATTTACAATAATGATAATTATTTTATTCCATTACGATGAGGGTAGCGAAGCACACTGGGTATGGCTAGTATACATATTATTAAACATTTCAGTTGCAAATAGTTTCGGAATTATTTTTAACTCCGTCTGTGGTCAGGTTAAAAATAACACATAGATTCATTTGAATCTACAATCTTTAAAAGAACAGTAGCGGTTTTCGTCTCAACGTTTCCACATAACATAAAATGTATATTTCTTATAAACACTTAATAAATGCATTAATAATCTGTCAAACCTTAAGATTGACAAGTTTAAAACATATTGGAACAACTAGACTTAAAAAGGGACCTTGTGAGGATTTCTATGAATATGCCTGCAGTAATTATGGTAAGGAAAACCCAGATAACAATTATAATGAAATACTGCAACATTTGGATTATAAAACTAATAAAAAGCTATTGAAATATATGAATAGAGCTTTAAAAATTCGAAAATTATATCACACTGAACATCCTGAACTGGAAACATATTATGATAAAATGTTGACATACTATGAGGCCTGTATGGGTGAGGAAGTCTATGAAATGGGCAAATATTTAGAGGTAATCAAAGAATATTTATTGAATACAAACTTTGATTTTTGGCCATTATTGGGTCATATGCAGTCGTATGGTTTAAATAATGTCATAGTGCAACACACTATAACAAGGAATGTGGATAACACGCTTAATATAATATTGTCACCGGTATCGTTTGACAAGGAAGAGAGTTATTTACCCGATAGCCAGTCGCTTATGAATATTTTATATAATTTGGACTTAGACTTTATGGAGAAAAAAATCAAAGATTTATATGCAACAGAATTGCAATGGCAACAGCTGGTGAAAAGTATTAGAAAAAACGATTTTAAACAATTAACTGTAAAAAATATAACTCTACTTTATACGCATCTAAATTTGCAGTCATATTTAGAAAACTTATTGGAAGCAGAGCTACATAGTGTCAACATGATTACCATAAATAATGCTGAATATTTTTTTAATTTAAATCTAAAGTCGTGGACGTCCAAGGAGTTGAAAAGTTTGCAACTTTATTTATTAATAAAATTCTTATATTACTTACAGCTAGATGGAGTAAAAGACTTTGAACCGCTGGAATGTCTTAAAGATTTAAGAAATAAATTCGATTTGGCCATAAACTATTTATACTATCATGACTTTTATAAATTGAGAGCAAAGAAATTCAAACTTGTTCTTAACTCTATGCTTCTCAATATAAGAGACATTATGGAAACCTATTTCAAGGAGAATCATTTGCATTTGTCTCCCGAACATATAAATGTGTTAAACAATAAAATTCAAACAATTAAACTAAATATTGGAAATTTACCCAACGGTTTTGATTTTAAAACAATACAGACCTATTATCAGGATATACCTCAACTAGATCGTAAAAATTATAATAAAAATCATTTACTCTTATTGAAACATCGCTTTCGTAAATCGTTGCTATATGAAAGAAATCAAACACATGATATCACAGTCGATTATACCTATCCCTCGCCCTTTTATTTGCTCACCAAGAATATGATAGTCTTGCCGTTTGCCACCTTTCAATTGCCGCTATTTCACTATAAGCAAACACCTCTACAACAATTGTCCCTCTTTGGCTTTGTCTTGGCCCATGAACTAACACATGCTGTTGATAATATCGGCATACAATACGATCATCAAGGCTATTCTTTAACCCAAACTTCAGCTATACTAAACCATCCGAATTTCTCAGAATCTCTAATATGTTTGCAAAAACAAAAGCCTACTAATTATATACATGAACGTATTGCCGATATATTTGGTGTGCGTGTGGTTTATCGCGCCTATTTGCAGTACTATGCTCAGCGTCAAAAAGATGATTGGCGAAAAGAATTCTTCATGAATTTGGCACAATTCTTTTGTAATAAAAGCTACTTAAAATTCATTGAACATGATCCGGATCCAGTGCGTTTGCAACAAATTGTTAAGAATTTTTTACCATTCGCCGAGACCTATGGCTGTTCGGTAGATAGCGCTATGCATCCAAAAAATAAATGCCGTCTTTATTGAGATATAAAAATAAAACATAAGTTATTATAAAAGAATTATGTAACTATAAGTAGTGTAAATTGTAAAGTCTATATGCAGTAAATAAATATTTTTAAAATAAAAAGAATTTATATAAATTCACAACTTCTTAAGAGCAGTAATAAGAAGACTACAGCAAAACTTTTGCTACATCTATAATCCCGACTGTGGTGGTTATATTCCAGACTATAAACAATCTATAGTCCAGGCTATAAAGAATCTATAGTCAAAACTGTACTATTGTACTCATGACAATAGAGAATATACAGTCCAGGCTATAGAGAATATATGGTCCAAACTATACGGAATCATAGTCCGGACTATAGACAATCTGTAGTCCATAATATAGAGAATATATAGTTCAGATCATAGAAAATCTATAGTCCAGACTATAAAGAATCTATAGCCCAGACTATAGAGAATCTATAGTCCAGATTATAGAGAATCTATAGTCCAGACTATAAAGAATCTATGGTCCAGACTATAGAGAATCTATAGTCCAGACTATAAAGAATCTATAGTACAGACTATAAAGAATCTTTAGTCCAGACTATAGAGAATCTATAGTTCAGACTATAGAGAATCTATCGTCCAGACTATAGAGAATCTATAGGCCAGACTATAGAGAGTCTATAGTCCAGACTATAGAGAATCTATAGTCCAGACTATAGAGAATCTATAGTCCAGACTACAGAGAATCTATAGTCCAGACTATAGAGAATCTATAGTCCAGACTATAGAGAATCTATAGTCTAGACTATAGAAAATCTGAAGTACAGGCTATAAAGAATTTATAGTCCAGACTATAGAGAATCTATAGGCCAGACTATAGAGAATCTATAGGCCAGACTATAGAGAATCTATAGGCCAGACTATAGAGAATCTATAGTCCAGACTATAGAGAATCTGAAGTACAGGCTATAAAGAATTTATAGTCCAGACTATTGAGAATCTATAGTCCAGACTATAGAGAATCTATAGGCCAGATTATAGAGAATCTATAGTCCAGACTATAGAGAATCTCCATATCATAGAGAATAGATTGTCTGTAGTCCAGAATATAGATTGTCTATGGTCCAGACTATAAATTGTCTGTGGTTCTGGCTATAGATTGCAATAGTCCAGACTATAGAGAATCTGTAGTCCAGACTATGGAGAATCTATGGTAAAGACTATAGGGAATCTATAGTCCAGACTATAGAGAATCTATAGTCCAGACTATAGTGTATCTATAGTCCAGAGTATAAAGTATTTATGGTCTTGAGTATGGAGTATTTATAGTCCAGACAATAGAGAATATGTAATGCAGTATATATGCAATTTATATAATCCTGACTTTAAGGTCCCTATAGTCCAGATTTTAGTCCATATTAGATAAAATATCCGATAATTCTACATTTTTCTCCTACAGCACAAAGTTATGCAACTTTTCCTAAAGACTAAAAATACATTTGTCTCTACTATTTTATTATACACATTCCGTACTATTATGCAAATTAGGGTCTGAAATTTTACATATTTTCTCTGTGTGTTCTTCGAGTCGATTTTATTTGCTGAAAATGTTTAGGTGTAAAACAAAATCTCCCAGTTAAACAAAATGAGAGAGATACTACTAAACAAACTCTCAAACGAACTGATAAAGCGGCTGATTTTATTATTATCATTATTTTATATTTGGATTGATATATAAAATAAAATAGAATTTAAATAACAAAAACATCATAAATCTATTCAAAAGTATAAACATGTTAATGAAAAGTAAGAAGAATGAAAAAAAAAATTGTAATAAAAATAAAAATTCTGGAAATAAGAAAAAAATCACAAAAATAAAATTTACCAATAAAAACATTTTAAAATGCAAAATAAGTACTTATGAAGAGAAATGGAAATTGTATGAAATTTAGAAGAAGGCCTGTAGGAAAGTGTAATATATATTATAGAGATAGTAAAAGTAGACTTCTATGGATTTAAAATATAGAGCGGACATTAAGTACAAAAAGTACCCTTCTCGAATTTAGTGCTCTTTTATAGTATCTATAGTCTAAAGACTAAACAATATCAATAGACCAGACTGTATCTATAGTTCTGACAATAGTCTGGACTTTAACTTAACTATAGTCCAGACTTTAGAGTACTTGTAGTATAGTCTACAGAATAACTATAGCTCAGATTTCAGAAAATATATTGTTCCGACTATAGAGTATCTATAGTCAAGACCAAACAATATCTGTAAAGTATCCGTAGTTCAGACTAAAGTTCGGATTATAAAGTAACTATAGCCCAGACTCTAGAGTAGCTATAGTGTAATCTATAGAATATCTATCTATAGACCAGCCTGTAGAGTGTCTATTGTACTGAATATAAAGTATATATTAGAACATATATTCCAGACCATAGAGTATCTGTATTACAGAACATAGAGTATCTATAGTACAATAGAGACTAAATAGACTCTATAGTCCAGAGTATTTATAGTCCAGACTATAGAGCATCTATAGTTCACGCTATAGAGGGTCTATTGTCAGGACTATATATAGACCAGAGATATCTTACAGTATAGACAGTCGAGTATCATTAGTTCCTGCTATTGAGTATCTATAGTCCAGAATTTAAACTATATATAGTCCAGTCTATAGAGTAGCAATAGTTTTTAGAGTTTGTAGTCCAGAATATAGAGTACCTATATTCTAGACTATCGAGCATATATAGTTCAGAGACTAAATAGACTCTATAGTCTAGAGTATATATATTCCAGACTATAGAGCATCTATAGTTCACGCTATAGAGGGTCTATTGTCAGAACCACATATTTATATAGACCACAGAGATCTTACAGTATAGACAGTCGAGTATCTTTAGTTCCTGCTATTGAGTATCTATAGTCCAGAATTTAAACTATATATAGTCCAGTCTATAGAGCATCTATAGTTTTTAGAGTCTGCAGTCCAGCATATAGAGTACTTATATTCTAGACTATCGAGTATATATTGTTCAAACTATAAAGCATTCATTGTTCAGAATATAGGTACTCTAAAGTTAACATTATATAGGTTTTATAGTCTAGACTATGATGTTCCTAAAGTCTCGATTGTATAGTATCTACAGTCCTGACTATAGAGAATCTATAGTACCGACTACACAGTATATATCGTTCAAACTATAAAGCATCCATTGTTCAGACTATAGGTACTCTAAAGTTAACATTATATAGGTTTTATAGTCTGGACTATGACGTTCCTAAAGTCTCGATTGTAGAGTATCTACAGTCCTGACTATAGAAAATCTATAGTACCGACTACACAGTATATATCGGTCAAACTATAAAGCATCCATTGTTCAGACTATAGGTACTCTAAAGTTAACATTATATAGGTTTTATATTCTAGACTATGACGTTCCTAAGTCTTGATTGTAGAGTATCTACAGTCCTGACTATAGAGAATCTATAGTCCGGATTACACAGTATCTATAGTTCCAATTGTAGAGAATCCATAGTAAAGACAATCATGAATCTGTAGTATAGACTATATAGGATCTGTAGTATAGTCTATATAGGATCTGTAGTATAAAACAGAGAAGATCCAGATTATATATAATCGACTGTCTAGACTACGAAGTATCTATAATGTCCATTCCTTTCTTATTTAGCAAAAAAACATAAAAATGTTACAAAACTTAGCCAAACATTTGTATATCTATCTACCTACAGTAGCGTACTTAGAAAATACATTAGCTTTGTTCCAGAACTTTTCTGGTTAAAGAGAATTAATGAATTTTCTCTTCGTACTTATAAAAAGTACGGGAACAGAAAAAACAAAATTTCTCTTTCAATAAATTTGTATTGAAGTTTATTCATATAAATTTCTATTGAAATTAAAATAAAATTGAAAAACTACAATCACATATACTTATTTATGAAAACAAATCAAAATATCAAACATTTTTTGTTTGCAATGTATTTTTTTAAACAAATAATTTATTTGACAATTTTTTTTTTCTATTTGCCAGGAAAAAATGTTCTGGCTAAAACCTGCAAGTTCTGGCAAAGAGAAAATAATTTTAATTGCTCAAATTTGTTCTCTTTTACAATTTCTGGTAAAAACCTGCGAACTTGACAAGTAAAGGAACAAAGCTATTAACAACAAAAAGAGCAGACAAAAAATAAATACAAAACATGGAACAAAAAAAACTGATGAAAAACAATTTAAATAGATTTTATAGACTCAGATTTTGATTTTAAAAATGAAACAGAGATTAGTTTTAAGCAACAAGTACTTGGATGAGGAAGATTAAATTTGTGCAATATTTGATTTTAAACAAAAATAAGTAAATAAAAAAAATATATAAAAAGTTTAAAAATATACAAAAATCACAAAAAAAAATCCCCAAAACACATGCATAACGAAGACAATAACAGATTATATCACAAAAATTTATAACTATACGCAAAAAAAAGAAAAAAGATAATCGTAGTAAAAACTAAAGTTCAACATGTTAAAGTTCAGCATTGTCTTTGGCTTGCTGGCGTCTATAATCTGGCGTACAACACCGACAAATTGTCGCCAGACCCACAATCAAACACAGAACATCAATCAATTGGCTGCCTTAAATATTGAACGTTATATGGATGCAACGGCACGACCTTGTGAGAATTTCTATCAATATGCTTGCGGCAATTGGTATCAGCAGCATATTGATGAAATGGATTATGGTGATGTCTTGGGTTTAATGGATTATGAATTGAATCGTAAATTGGAGCATTTATTACGTAAACCATTGGCGGAGCAGTTGACAGACAGTGCTCGTAATAGATCGGAAGAAAATTTAACATTACATAGTATTAGTACCACAGAATCGGCGAATGAGGATGCTTGGGGTGTGGGGCCAGTCGTCGAGTGTGTATGATAAAGTTAGAACCTACTATAAGTCTTGTAAGAAAGTCAAACCTTATAATTTGAAAAAATATTTGCAACTGGTACCGCCCGGTAAGCTGGTTCATTGGAGTGTATTGGCTAAGCAGGGTGGACGTAAATGGAATTCGGAAAAATTTGATT